CCTGGATCATGCATATTCCAAAATATAACTGTTGCTTATGAGTGGGTATAGAATTGCAGCTCAATTTCATAGTCCCATTGGACTCAGCTAAGAGGGACTTTGAGTGCAGCCCTGCTGTGCAATCCTGTGCGTGGTTTCAAAAGCAAAGCCTATGTTGAATGTTTACTCACGGGCACAAGTATGCTTAGGGTTGCTGCCTTAGGGCTTCCAAGTAAACAGGAGTTGAAGTGGAATGCCCATGATGTTTGCCGCACAAGTGAGGTCACGCAGTTTGCTTGGATGTGACGGCAGAGGAAATGGCTGGCAGATTAACCCCCCAAAATGACACGCTTTTGTTTTTCTGGTGCACCTTTCAAATGGCTGAAGTGGACAATTAGTATTCCTTAAATTAAATAACAACAACAACAGACTAGGTGACGTTACGCTACAGAATTTGTCTTGTTTTGGAAGCTATTTCTCAACGCGCATGCGTTTTGCAGCAGTTCGGTACCGTAGTCTGAAAAGAAGGAAAATACGCATGCGCTTTGGGAGGAACGGGGGCGTAGCAGTGAGCCGTGCATAGACCGATGCGGAGGCTCTGCGAAAACAATACGCTCGTGCGCAGTACAGCTCGCTGGTTGTGTCGCGCGCGCGGCTATAGAGTGTAAATAAATCAATGCGCATGCTCCTAAAGCCACGGAGAGCGCATGCGCAGCGGGACGCCTGCGTCTTCCGACTAACGCGAAGAATGCAGTATTCGTTTGCCGCATGCGTAGTAAAAGCACCTCGCTATTTGCCGCCTCCCCCCCCTCGTTTCCCGTATGAGTTGTGATCTCCATTTTACGCTGCCTGAGCGCCAGCAGTGCCGCCTGTGAGCGAATTTCAGTCCGGATAGTTTCATGTTTGCAATAAATGTGAAGAGGCCAGGATTGAAAGCAGTGGCTCAACAGTGTTCCTGATGAAGAATTAAGTGTGAAGCACGTTGGGTTTAATTTTTAAAAACGCGTATATTATTCAGTCTTCTATCCCTGCCACTGATGCCTTCTCGCCTTTTTTACTGTTAATGTGTAAGAAGGAAGAAAATAAAGCATCAAAAGTAACCAGGAATTCCCACCTTCAATTAAACTAAAGAAAGTATTTAACTGATAATTATTTTGTAGACTTCATGTGATCTTAGTGGACTTGAAAAGTACAGCCCATACAAGAAGGTGTGGGAGGGGAAGCACTGTAAGGAAAAAAGGAATCATATAGGAGGCTCCTCTTCAAGCTAGAATTTCAATGAATTTCTCCCCCAAGCCGTTTTGTGTATCCATTAACCAGAAAAGTGCTGAAATAATTTCTCATACATTGCTTCTGTAATCGTTAAAATAATGTTTTGAGGTTGGCTTTTCTTTTTCATTTGTATATTGCCCTCCATCTGAAAATCTCAGGGGTGGTTTACAACACAAAAGATTAAAAAAACTACAAAATATATGATAAAAACAAAAAAACCAGCAATGCTCCCCTCCCTGCCACACACATCAAAGGGCTGGTTGTAGAGAAATGTAATGAAGGCACCAGGCGGACCTCCCTGGGGAGAGCAAACAAACGAGAAGGCCTGCTCTTGTGTTGCCAGTCACCCTCCAGATCTCCCATGGAGGAGGCACATGAAGAAGGGCCTTGGAAGATGGATCACAGGGTCTGGGTCGGATCATATGGGAAGAGGTGGTCTTTGGGGTATTGTGGTCTAGTACTTTGAATTAGGCCCAGAAACTAATTTGCAGCTAGTGCAGTCAAGCCAGGATCAGTGTCATGCTCAAACGGTCTTGCCCTGGTGAGCAACCTGGCTGCTGAATTCTGCACCAGCTGAAGCGTCCAAATCCATCTTCAGAGGCAGCCCCACGTATAGCTCATGGCAGTAATCTAATCTAGTGGTTACCAGAGCATAGACAACCGTAGTTGGGCTAATATTTTTTGACAAATGGATAAATTGAGATTAGGCTATGACTGCAATCCTATTCCTGTTTACCTAAGAGTAAATCCCATTAATTCACTAGGATTTATTTCTGAGTAGACATGGTTAGGATTGTGTTGTAAAAAATAGCAAGGATTCAAAGCTTGAGCTCATACCCATGGGTAAATTATTCAACTAGTTAAAGAGAAATATGTATTCCTAGATGTACCCAGGTAGTCTGATACAGCATACCAAGTGTGCATCTATTACACAAATGTAAAGCAGTTTATAATTATTTTAGGCATAATAATTATATTTAGTGCTTTGCCCCAAAGGAACATAAAAATTGTAGGGTGACATATCAGGCAGAGATTCCTTGGTCCCTAAAACAGCTACAATACACTGTGAATGGTAAAAACTTTTATATCTGAAGTTGCATGATTATGCTGGATGTAGGGTAGGGTAAGGTGCCAACTGTGCTAGGGCTCCTGTGCCTTTAACTGCTGCCCTATATTCTTCCCCTCATTGTTGCAGTGATTGAAAAGGCAGCACCTGCTGCATTCCCTCTTTTCATGCAACTGTTAAAAAGGGAGCCCTGCCCTAAAATAATCATCGGTAATTTGCCAGCTTTTAGCAATTGGGGTTGCTAGTCTCTTTGTTTATTGAAGGATTTATGTAACTTGAGAAGTAAATAAAAAGGCAGAATTTCAGAATTTTTTACAAGCTTTCATCAGACCTACCTATCCCATCATGATATATAAAAATGCTTCTAGGTCAAGTAGAAAATCCCTTGGTGCTGTGGGTTAAACCACAGAGCCTAGGACTTGCCGATCAGAAGGTCAGAGGTTCGAATCCCTGCGACGGGGTGAGCTCCCATTGCTCAGTCCCTGCTCCTGCCAACCTAGCAGTTCAAAAGCACGTCAAAGTGCAAGTAGATAAATAGGTACCACTCTGGCGGGAAGGTAAACAGCGTTTCCGTGCGCTGCTCTGGTTCTCCAGAAGCGGCTTAGTCATGCTGGCCATGTGACCCGAAACATGTACGCTGGCTCCCTCGGCCAATAAAGCGAGATGAGCGCTGCAACCCCAGAGTCGGTCACAACTGGACCTAATGGTCAGGGGTCCCTTTACCTTTACCTTTAAGTTAAGGTTACCAGATGTCCCCATTTCCTGGATACAGTCCCCGGATTTACAAATCAATCCCCATACAAAATCCATTGAAGTTTAAAAGTGTCTCTGGATTCATTGAAAAAAATCTGGTAACCTTACAGTAAGTCAGTCTCAAGTATCTTTATATGCGAGTGGGATTATACAATATCTGGTAGGAAGGATATGATACGATATCTGGTAGGCCACTTCCCTCGCATGGGAATTCCCTTGTGACTTTACAGCTATGTAAAGGACAGGCTTTCAACAAGTGAAGTGTTTCCCACCACTGCTTTATACCGGCTCAGACTTCAGCTGTTATTCTCCATCAGGGCCGGCTCAAGACATTTTGGCACCTGAGGCAAACCACAGAATGGTGCCTCCCCACTGCCAGGGGAAAAGGAAGGAGTGAAGTTCTATATTGGGAACAAGGGTGGGAGGGAGACCCGCAGCACCCCCCGTTTGTCAAGAGGCTGCTGTAGAGCGGGCATGAGGGGGCTCTGCCATCATTGCCACCATGGGTGGTGCTTTCCTTGGAGGCTGGATCTGCTGGCCCCATGGATCCTGATGCCTGAGGTGGCAGACCCAAAGGAGGGCTTGTGAGAGTGGTTGGGTGCAGGGGTACCAAAGAAGGAGGTTAAAAAATGCCAGAGTAAACTGTTCTGGTGCTTTACTAAAAGAAAGTTGCAGACTTCAGCAAATCAGTCTGCCAGGTCTCCCAGCCTTTACAGATGTGGGACGGGCATCGCAGCGAGGACATGGCTTGTTTGTACCCAAGCAAATCTGCATATATTAAAGGTAAAGGGACCCCTGACCATTAGGTCCAGTCGTGACCGACTCTAGGGTTGAGGCGCTCATCTCACTTTACTGGCCGAGGGAGCCGCCGTACAGCTTCCGGGTCATGTGGCCAGCATGACTAAGCCACTTCTGGCGAACCAGAGCAGCGCACGGAAACGCCGTTTACCTTCCAGCCGGAGCGGTACCTATTTATTTACTTGCACTTTGACGTGCTTTCGAACTGCTAGGTTGGCAGGAGCAGGGACCGAGCAATGGAAGCTCACCCTGTTGTGGGGATTCGAACCACCGACCTTCTGATCGGCAAGTCCTAGGCTCTGTGGTTTAACCCACAGCGCCACCAGTGTCCCTCTGCATATATTACTTACACACAAAGCAGCATCTGTCACTTTGGCCAGGACTTCCATCACTCCACCTGACTAGGTGAAGGCATAGGTGGCAAATGCCCAAATCTTACAGCTAGTTCGTCTTTCTGGGCTCAGAGCCCCGCACCCTAAGCCCACATATAAGGTTAACATCAAAGCAAGCCCATTAGCCTATAACAAAGCAAATGCATATACAGTGGTACCTCAGGTTAAGAACTTAATTTGTTCTGGAGGTCTGTTCTTAACCTGAAATTGTTCTTAACCTGAAGCACCACTTTAGTTAATGGGGCCTCCTGCTGCTGCTGCTGCGCCGCTGCTGCACGATTTCTGTTCTCATCCTGAAGCAAAGTTCTTAACCCAAGGTAATATTTCTGGTTAGCGGAGTCTGTAACCTGAAGCGTATGTAACCCCAGGTACCACCGAGCTCTTTGCTGCAACAACTACCAATTAATCGTGGGGTTATCTCAACTACCAAGGTGGCATTAGCAGAACTTCCAGAACAGTTCACCTTTGGATCAACACAGTGGTTGCCTCACCTTGCCTCACGGATGGGCCGGCCCTGATCCCCACCCTCTCTTTCTTTGCCTGACACTGCAGCGGCCACAACCATTGTAGGCATGATGCTGAAGTTGGTTACCAGTTCCCAAACATCCAGAAGGCTGTTCTCTACAATATGGCATTGAATCCTACCTGCTCCAAAGCTTCCCATGATAATAAGCCACTGTCAAGTGCATATTCACGTATGAATAATAGCCAAAAGATGTAGGGGGGGGGGGAAATAAGGAACTAGGAGTGCACATCCCAGAATAAGCTCTGAGCACCACAAAGTCGTGCTTCTGGGGGAGTGTCTTCTGTAAGATGGTGTTGAATTTCATCTAGCTCAAAGTTTACTTGGGGTGCAAGGGACATATATTTTTACATTTTGGGGCTATTGTCCGTGTGCAGACATGCACTTGGCTGTTCCTTGAACCCAGAGGATTCCTCAACATTTCATAGAAGTCAATCTCCCAGTTGTGCAGGTGCATGCTTTGTGTGGTCCGAAACCTTATCCTGAATTGCTGGCTCTCAGTTCCTTGCTTTTTTATTGTCACATGATGTTATCACACATTTGGGAGTGTTGTGCAAAGATGGTCCTTTTGGGCTGTGTCCAACACTAGTCCTACTCAATGAGTAGCCTCAATGAAATGATCGCGTCTAAGTTAGGCATGTCCATTGACTTCCATGGGTCTGCTCTGAGCAGGATTAACATTGGCTACAACCCTTAGATTATAGAAAATCATTGCTTGTCCCAAAGGGAAGAGTCCCCTGAAAAATGGAGGAATTGGGGGAGTGCAGTATACTTACCTTGTGATTCAGTTCAGGGACATACCGTATATTTCTTTTTTAGTGTTATGAACTTTCATCAGATAAGGAACTGGGAATCAGGAAGCTACTTCGGCGTGGTGAGGCAAATCTAGAACTAGGATATGAGAAGTAGGAACCAGCTTCAGCAACATAATGGTGGCTGAGATGTGTGGCCACACTTCTATTATGAACAGCCCCAGCTCCGTTTGATAAGTTTGTCGTGACTAAGAACTCCCAATAGGATGATTAGGGGATGCAACTACCAATGTCTCCCATTCTTTCAAGGTGTGGCCCCTGCCTTTAAGATTCCTTCCATGCTGTTAGGGTCATAGATTAAATTGCACCATCCATTTAGCAATCTGCTTTCCCTTTAAAAGGTTCTCTCCCGTTCGCTACTTTGCTCCTCCTCTACCAGGAACCGAAAGCTTCAGGGGGAATTCCTGGCTACAAAACTCTCCAGAAAACAAGCGCTCTGTTCTGCAGTAAGTTTTCTCCTCTCGCAGATTCCACTTCATTTTAGCTAGTAGACGTCTTCGCTTGGGATGTGGTCTGGATACAATCCATCTAGAATCGGGAGGTTGGTTACAAAAGCAATAATCCCTTCCAGTGCTGGAGCTTGAGGAATTCGGAGTTGCTGAATCCTTCCGTCTGCCATTATCTGGAAATTTAATTTGTCTTGCTTTTTCTCCCTCCCTCCCAGATACCAAGTGCTGCAGCTAAGCTGTTGGAGAAGTCTAGACTCTAGCCTGAGATTTATATTTCCAACAAGATTCAGGTCCTGTAACTTCCTGTCCTAGTCTTTTTATGTGCCTGATTGCTAAGTACGCACTTTCCCTGTAATTGCCTGGAGACTTTGATTCTGCTCCGTGGAAGTGGGTGTGTCCCCTTAGTAGCACCCCATGGCTGTTGCTGTACATTGGTTTCTGCAGAATAGGGCTGGGTTCCCTCAGTTTGTTGAAGGATTAAGTGCAGCGAAAGGCATTGGTTTTAGCACAATGTGGATACAAAGGGTGTTGCACAGTTCCTCCAGGCCCTGCCCGTGGGGGTAAGCCTGTGGGAAGGTGACTCAGGAGTCCAGGGTGTGCCCAGAGCAGCGTTTTAAACCGGAGATTTCTGTCGGGTTCATCCCATTCAGATTGCCCTCTCTTTACAACCGCTCTCAGGAGGCGAGATGGCAGCTGAATCCATAATCCGGATCCCCCCATACCATTACATCCATGTCTTGGACCAGAACTCAAATGTGACTCGAGTGGAAGTGGGACCCAAGACCTATATCCGCCAAGACAATGAGAGGTGAGCAAGCCTCAAAAAAGGAGGGCATCGGATGGGTGGTTTCTGTTTGCCCCCTTTCCTCAGGAGGGCTCCAGTAGTGCCACAAACAGTGAGTGACGCAAGTGTTAGTAATTCCTTCGGTGGTTATGCTCCTCTTCCTGCTTCGCCGTTTTCTCTTTCTCTCACAGAAATACACTTCACTTTTTAATAGCTATTTATGAGAGGCATCACCCACCCTTAACCATAAGGTTTGGGGTTTTTTGTTTTCGATAAATTGGTTTTATTTCTACGTAGGGGAGACCACAGTAACAGAATCATTACTTTAAAATGGCTAAAAGAGAACAATGTCAGAAAGGGCAAACCGAACTCTAAAGTTCTTAGGTATGTTACAACAGGCATGACTGTGGAATCTTGCCTAGGCCGAAGCTTACTTCAGGTGCAAAGGACATTCACCTTTCTGTACTCTATTTGCACTAGTCTGTCACTGCACAGCCCTGTTGTAGGTTTGGAAGTGATTTGCATGAAGTCAGGGAAGTGGAGGGGATCCGGTTGCACAATGGCCATGGCAATGGAGTCAGAAAGGAGAGACACTGAGAGGAAAGAAGTGGTGTTTTTCAAAACGATGGGGCGGGTTAGAAGAGGGTGAGAAAGGGGAAACAGTGAGGTTTTTTGTTTTTTTTAAAGTGTTAACAAGGAGAAAGAGTGAAGATGTATACAACGCACAAACCAAAACCAAAATGCCTTTCTCAGCTCCCTTCTTGCTATACTCAAACCTGGTTAAAGCGCCACATCTTTCCCCTCAGTGTCCTTGCAAGACTACGGGTATAATGAGGTCACTTTGCTAAACCTGAGCTGCCAACAAGCTCCGATAAGACCTCTTCCCAGCTGCAGAGAACCCACAAGTCCACAGTCCTAGCTGAGCCTTTTAATTCTTCCCTCCATACCTGCTTCCCGCTCCAGGATCGTGTTTGCCCCAGTGAAGATGGTGATGGTCCCCCCTCGCTATTACTGCGTCATCCTCAATCCAGTGGTCCGAGGGGCAGATGGTGCCGTTGAGCTCAATGTCGGGGGGCAGGTGCGGCTTAGGCATGCCGACCTAGAGATCAGACTGGCTCAGGACCCTTTCCCTCTGTACCCAGGGGAAGAGCTACAGCAGGTAAGGACATGTCAGCTTCTCCTCTCCACAGTGGGGCCCCATAGCGAGGGCACAATCAGAGGGCCATTAGATGTGGGGCACATGTGTTTGTTAGCCATGATGGTTCCATTAACCTCCATCATCACAGACAATACGCCTCTGAATAGCAATAGCTAGGGATGATACTAGCTAGGGATGATGGGATCATGAGCAGGAAAGTGCTCTTGGGCCCAGGTCCTGCTTGGGGGCTTCGCAGGGGCATGTGGTCAGCTGCTGTGAGAACAGGATCCTGGACCAGATAGGCCTTTGGCCTGATCCGGTGGGGCCTGCCTTTGAGGTTCAGCACTTTGAGATTCTCCAGAGGAGTAGGAACATAAGAAGGGTCTTCTGGATCAGGCCAGTGGCCCGTTTCGTCCAGCATCCTGTTCTTACAGTGGCCAGCCGGATGCCAGTGGAAAGCTTCATGTGTTAATCCAAAAGAAGGACCTGAGCACAAAGCCTTTGACCTGGGAATTGTTCCATTGCTGCTATGGCTCCCTTTGCTCACTGTCTCCCCCTCCCTCTCTCCAGGGTGTCACACCTCTGCAGGTCGTCCTGCCTAACACTGCCCTGCATCTGAAAGCCCTCTTGGACTTTGAGGATGACCATGGCGGCAAATACGTTGCTGGGGATGAATGGTTGTTTGAAGGGCCTGGTAAGTGAAAATAAGCTGAAGTTCAGTTGTGGCACAAATGCTTGGTACGCAGAGTGTTTCAGGTTCAATCGCTGGCTTCCCCAGTTAAAAGGAACAGGTAGGAGTTGGTCTGAAGAGCCTTCACCTGAGACTTTCACCGGTCAGATTAGACCAGGGCTTCCCAAACTTGTTCCTCCAGTTTTGTTTTGTTTGGACTACAGTTCCCATCATCCCTGACTACTGGCCTTACTAGCTAGGGATGATGGGATTTGTAGTCCAAAACCAGCCAGAAACCCAAATTTGGGGAAACGCCGGACTAGACAATAGGTGGACCCACCATCCTGGCCTGGTGAAAGGTCGGCTGTGTGGTTTGAGGCCCACCTTCTTGTATAACATCCTTGTTGTTCACAGGCACCTACATCCCACAAAAGGAGGTCGAAGTTGTGCAGACTATCCAGGCCACCATCATTCGGCCCAACCAAGCCATAAGACTTCAGGCACGGAAAGAGTGCAAGGACAGAGAGGGCAATAAGCGTGTGACAGGTATTCCTGCCATCCCACCCACAGTCTTGTAAGGTGTTCTGTTTTTCCAATATGACCTGCCTTGTGACTCCCTCTTCTTCACAGGTGAGGAGTGGCTGGTGAAGCGGGTTGGGGCGTACCTGCCAGGTGTGTTTGAGGAAGTAGTTGATACCGTTGACGCCTATGTCCTGACTGAAAAGGTGAGTGATGGGCTTGTTGCCCCTCGTGGTGAGTGGAGGAGGCATGTGGGTCAAGTCTCTGCTGCAGTAGCTGAGCCAGGATGCTTTGTAGGATATTGTTAAGAGTGCTCAGGGTCCATACTTTGGAGAACGGGGAATCGCAACAGCTCTGAGGGGAAAGTGATTGCTCATCAGCTACCTCTTGTCTCTCTAGCCAAGGCACTTACAATTGATTACCCTGCAGGTGGTTGAAAATATAATATTTTCAGAGTCAGAGCAAACAAGTGGGTGGGACAGCTTTTATTTTTGCCCCCCTCTGCTTCTCCCTCCCTGCTCAGTAGGCTGCCAGGGAAGAGGCCAATATCTTTTGCCAGAGCTCTGAACTGACCACTTGCAAAGTTTTTTTGGAAATATATAATTCAGCTTAGGGCCATGTAAAATTAGGCAAAGGGCCACAGATGGCTCACTTGTGCTCCAGCCCAGTGGTTCCCAGTTAGCTAAATACTGATGAACCCCTGTTTTTCAAAAGCCAAGCCGTTAAACAGCTCCTTTTAAACAGCTTACCTAGACCATTCCCCATGCTCAGGGGTAGGCAACCTAAGGCCTGGGGGCCGGATGCGGCCCCATCACCTTCTCAATCCGGCCCGTGGACGGTCCGGGAATCAGTGTGTTTTTATATGAGTAGAATGCGTCCTTTTATTTAAAATGCATCTCTGGGTTATTTGTGGGGCATAGGAATTCGTTCATTCCCCCCCCCTCAAAATATAGTCCTGCCCACCACATGGTCTGAGGGACGGTAGGCTGGAAAAGGTTGCTGACCCCTGCCCATTCTGCAGTTGGCGTGGCCACCTGTTGGTGACCACATGAACTGCAGAACATGATGGCACCTTACGTTTTTATGTATATAGGAAGATATGCACAGTCTATGCATGTGTGCAGGGGGGGGGACAGAATTAAAAATGGTCAAAAAGCCATGGAATGAATCCCAGATTTTTTTTTAAACCACATGTTCGTTAATCTAGATAAAACCTGAGTTGTTGCATAACTTCAGTCTGATGAAGTTATATATCTTTCTCCCCCCCCCCTAATGCAGTATTATTGCAGTATGATGGTGGAGTATCACAGCTGGCTAGTAGAAAGTGATTGGCTACCACAGCCAGCCAGAATGACTAGTTGTGTGTGTGAAGGTCACTTGTATGAAAAGCCTGTGGAAAAACAATGGTGGCTTTCCCCACAAATTCATGCCATGGTCTCTTTCCCTCTTACCCTTCCCTCCTCATAGAAAGCGCTGCACCTCCGGGCCTCAAAGACGTTCCGGGACTCCCAGGGTGTTACCCGGAAGACAGGAGAAGAGTGGCTGGTCACCATGGCTGACACCGAGGCCCACATCCCCGATGTTTACGAGGAAGTCCTGGGTGTTGTCGATATCACCACCCTGAACAGCTGTCAGTACTGCGTGGTTTGTGACCCAGTTGGAGCAGATGGCAAACCCCAGCTGGGACAGAAGAAGGTGATCAAGGTACGCGCCCAAACTCAAGTAGCACAGAGGACTTTGGGGGCACAGTACTTTAAACCTCAGAAAGCACCATGGGAGTTTCACACTAGTAATTACGGCCAATCTCCTTACGCTGTAGGAGGGTGAATGTATTTATCTGTATATTGATATTAGGCAGGGGCCTGCTAAAAACTCCATTGTTTCACCAAGTCCAGGCATCTAATTTTAGCATGTGATATGTGGTTTTAGTGAGTACAAGTGTTTTATAATGATGTGTGTGTGTTTTTGTGGTATTTTTTAATTATCGCTTTAGACTGTCTCACATCACTTAGGAGGTCTTTTGTTCTAGTAAGCGGTATATACGTTTTGTAAAATAGAATCGCCACATTTCTCAGGCTGGCTGCAGAGCTGCCCCCTGCCTCCCTCTCTGATTTTCCCCAACCCTCATTGCTGTTTCCGCAGGGGGAGATATCGTTCTTCCTGCAGCCTGGAGAGTGGCTGGAGCAGGGCATCCAAGACGTTTACATCCTTTCGGAAGAAGAGGGCCTCCTGCTCCGTGCCCTTCGCCCCTTGGAAGAAACAAACGAGGTAGGAGGACCCGAGCTTGCAGTGGGGGCAGGTCCGCTGGAGCACATGGGGTGCTGCTGCCCCATTGCGTGACCACCAGCCCAACCAGTCCAGGGGGTGGCCCTGGCTGTCAGCAGCCTCCTCTTTAGTCTCAGCAGCAACAGCAGGTTGGGGGACGAAACTAGAATTCCTTGGCTCTGCCTCGCATTGGCTCTGGCCTCCCTGCCTTCTGCCCTCCCAGGGCTAATCGGCACCAGCCCCCCCCCCCCTGTGAGCTTGTGCTTGCACCAGGGAAAGACTGGTGGCTTCAATGCAGGTGGGCACGGGAGGAGCCATTTCCCCCTGTTGTCTTTCTCCCTCGCACCCAGGACGGAGAGGAGGTTACGCACAAGCCGGGTGACCGTTGGCTGATCCGGGGGCCCCTGGAGTACGTGCCACCGGCCGAGGTGGAAGTGCTGGAGCGGCGCCACTCCATCCCGCTGGCTGAGAACGAGGGCATCTATGTGCGGGATATCAAGACGGGGAAGGTGAGTGGAGCAGGCAAGACAGCGGTTACCGGATATCGGCTGCTCCTGGAGAAGCCTCTACGCAGCGCAGCCTAAACACACCAATTAGCAGCACCCTTGAGACACACACACCTCCAGAGGTCACTGCTAACAAAAGTATCGTGGCACTCTGGACACAGTTTGTGTATTTGTGTACATTATTTATTAACCGTCCTTCAGTTGAAGCTTAAGAGCAGGTCTCTCTCTCTCTCTCTCTCTCTCTCTCTCTCTCACACACACACACACACACACACACACACACAATCGGGAGTGCAAAAGATATCATATGACTTCTATTCTGGTGCCTTGGTTGTGGTCCTTTGCAGGGATTAGAGTGAGAGTCCCTTGAATATGATCCTCTGCTAGAAGCAATGCTGAAGGTCGTTTTCCGCCGGCAGGAGACCCCAGTAAAACGTCCCTCCAGCAATCCAGCTGTTTTGCTGTTCCACTGGAGAGGGTGTCAGGAAAGAGCCCCCCGTGGCACTCCTGGAGGGACTGTGTTCAAGTCAAAGGGTTCCAGGGTCCGGTTTTCCCAGCTCTTTCTGAGCTTATTGGGGCAGCTGAACTGAAGCTCACTCTCTGATCACTGGAAAGTGCACAACCCCCTCAGAAAACTTTAAGGAATTAGAGGCATTTCTCTTGACATGGAGGTTGCACTCCATTGGAAAAGCTAGGACAGGTTTTTCCAGAAAGGTTGGTTGGCCCATGTATGGTCAGTTGTACTTCCTGCGCGCCATAGGGTTACTCAACACTATAGAGGGTGGTCAGAGGTCCTCAAGAAGGAACCATTATGAGGAATTGTGGTTCCTTTCTTATGCTGTGTAACAGAATGTGCCTCAAACCAGCACACCAGTTTCTCATATCACATGATGGGGAAGACTACTGCTCTCGAGGCAAGACATTCGCTACTTTATGTAACACTCTCTCCAGTTAAAAAAAGGTAAAGGTAAAGGTACCCCTGCCCGTACGGGCCAGTCTTGACAGACTCTAGGGTTGTGCGCTCATCTCACTCTAGAGGCCGGGAGCCAGCGCTGTCCGCAGACACTTCCGGGTCACGTGGCTAGTGTGACGAAGCTGTTCTGGTGAACTGGCATCAGAGCAGCACACGGAAGCGCCTATAAAGCGGTACCTATTTATCTACTTGCACTTAGGGGTGCTTTCGAACTGCTAGGTGGGCAGGAGCTGGGACCGAACGACGGGAGCTCACCCCGCCACGGGGATTCGAACCGCAGAGATTCACACTCTCTCCAGTTAAGAGTGCCTAATTAGGTTCCTTTCCTATGTCGTTATTTTTTTCCAATAGATTGAGAAAAAAGTATACTTTCCAATGCTTAGTATGTTTGTTGGTTATTTGTTCCTTGCTTTTGTACTTGCTCCCCCCTCCCAAATAATAAAAATGAATTGCCAAAAAGAAAGAAAAGGCATTTGAAAGAAAGAAGCCATTTTGTTTGCTAGGCTTTGTAAAGTGAAGATATAATATTCCAGGTTATTCTGGTAGGCTTTTCAGTCAGTGATGTTATTGCAGTATATTCCAATCTATTGTACCAGAGCTCAGCATAGTTCCTGACTTCGCTCTCTCTCTCTCTTTCTCTCACAGGTCCGAGCTGTAATTGGCCACACTTACATGCTGTCTCAGGATGAGGAGCTGTGGGAGAAGGAGCTTCCGCCCCACGTGGAGGCCTTGTTGACTGTCGGAAGGGACGCTGTTGTTGATCGTTCCAGGGATACCTCTGAAGGGTGCACTGGGGCGGCCCGTGACCGGACTCGGGTCGTGACCTACCACGTCCCCCACAATGCCGCAGTGCAAGTGTACGACTACAAGGAGCGGAAGTCCAGGTGAGAGGACCAATGAGGGAGTGTGAGATTTCCCTCCACCCTTGGAAGAAAGCTAAACGTGAAATGTGAGGGGAGCAGTATGTTATTTGAGGGTCTTGCTTAACTCAGTAATTGGGAAGCCCATGTTCTTCCATTACGTCGTTGGACTACAACTCCCATTGTTCCTGATCCTTGGCCTTGCTGGGCTGGAGCTGGTGGGACTTGGGTGCCCGCTGACCACAAGTTCCCCCACCCTTGGCTTAAATTTGGGAATTAATTTCAGGAATTTGTGGCCTCTGACCCAACAGGAAGCCTTTCCTCCTTAATCGTAGGTGGAGGGGTTGCTGGTTTGTTCTGTGGGAGTTTCCCACAAGGCAAAGCATCGCCCTGAGAAGCTCCAAGTGAGCAGCTTGCTCTTGGCAATGGCTGATGGCGGAATGAAGCCTTAGCAGCCCCTCCCTCCCAATTCGAACTTGCTCCTCTAAGCCCCCTTCCCCTTGCCTGAGAAGAGTGGCTCCTCAAAGAGCCAACCCTTTGGTCTGAAGTCGGCAGGCGTTCCTGCTTTGTTTTGTGGCCTCTCGCCTGGCATTCTCCCTGTGGCAGACCCTTCAGGTGAACTGGGCTTGGAGGAAGGCACCTGTAAGGGGTTCTGCAGGCCCCTGGCTAGCAACCTCTGGTTCTGTATCGGGAAACCTTGGCCAGTGACACGGCAGCCCTAGCTTCTGCTAGTTCCACCTGCTCTGTCTCTGCCCTTGTTCCAAGAGCCTTGGCACCAAAAGCAGATGGTGTGACTAAGGTTTCTTCCAGGCCAGCTCTCTTGTTCGTTTTTCATTCATTCGCCTGCATCCTTTTGTGTTCATATCCCACCTTTCCTTCAAGGAACTCGAGACAGCATCCATGGCTCTTGCACATGTGCACACACACTTTTATTTTATTTTATTTTATTTTATTTTATTTTATTTTATTTTATTTTATTTTTATTTTTGCTGCAACCCTTCAATGTAGGTTAGGTTGAGAGCTCTTTCCTAGCATATTGTTTCCCAGTGAGCTTTTGACAACATGGTTGCCTTACAGCGGGTTTATTCTGCCCAGGATGGGCAGGCAAAGCTGTATTGGACCTTCTGAGGGCTTCTGTGAGGCCCACAGGCTCCTTATAGTTAGAGAGTTTCTCTAGAAGACTAGAAATAATGAAAGGAAGCCACTAATGAAAGGACCTCCTAACATGGGATCAGGTGTTTTCAAAACTAGGGGCGATTCATCACTAATCCTACTCTTAATAGGAAGCCGCAAAACGAGTGGAAACATTTTATGAACCTTGTGGGAGACCTTTTCTGAAAGGGACTTCCTTGTGAGTAAGCATTTTGAAAGGACTGAGGTCATAAAGATAGGCATCGCCGGTCAGTTCTCTAAATGCTTTGCGAAGTCCCTCTTTTAACTCCACTTCTGTTGTGGAAAATCAGTGTCTCAGCGGGACTAAATGAATTTAGGATAGATGGCAGTTCTGTCCTGGTTGAGCAGTATCTTGGGAACACCTCCGATGTAGGCGGGCAGTGAAGGTCTGTGCTGGTGGAGGTGCCGCGTTCCTTTCAAGAGTTCATTTCCAAGTCGGATGGAAATGAAGTTTAACGCCCCCCCCCTTTATTCCCCCTCAGGGTGGTTTTTGGGCCAGAACTTGTGCTTCTGGGTCCAGATGAACAGTTCACGGTGCTCAGCCTGTCGGGGGGCCGACCCAAGCGCCCCCACGCTCGCCGCGCCCTCTGCCTCCTCCTGGGGCCGGATTTCTGCACTGATGTTGTCACCATTGAAACGGCTGACCATGCCCGCCTGCAGCTGCAGCTGGCTTACAACTGGTGAGTTGGAGACTACTGCTGAAGGGAGGCCGAAGGGAGACCCTCAGGTGGGCCAGGAGGGGGTTGTGCTGAGGGATGGGGACATGTTGATAATAGTATGGAGGGCTGAAAGTACAGTGGTACAGACACTTCAGTTTACAGACTCCGCTAACCCAGAAATAGTACCTCAGGTTAAGAACTTTACATATGTTTTTTTGAAGCCTCTGGGTTAGCTCAGTTGGTAAAGTATGAGTTGGTAAGTTGGTAAAGTATGAGATTCTTAATCTCAGGGTTCTGGGTTCGAGCCCCACATTGGGGTGCAAGAATCCTGCATTGCAGGGGGTTGGGCCAGGTGACCCCTGAGGTCCCTTCCAACTCCATAATTCTATGAAATAAAAGAGGATGGGGAAAGACGCATGTGTCACCCAGGTGTCTTTACAGTTCACGTGTAAAGCAAACGTGGGGTGTGTTTCTTTTTTAAACGAGAAAGAACACATGATGGAGTGGAGGGCAACCCGCCCCTCGCTCCCCAGATTTATTCTCCACCTTCCCTCATTGTGCCCTGTAGTATTTAAGCCATTTCTCCCAGTCCTCTGGCTCAGTTCCAGCATGGCAGACAGGCTGGAAGGAAACTGGCCAGAAGAAAACTACTTGCACGCAGCAAGACTGCAGCAAAGTGTGTGTTGTGTGTGCCAGGGGGAGGCTGTCGTTTCCACCCCTCACTCATTCCTGGTCTGGGTGGAGAGGTGGGCGTGTTTTGAAATAGACCCAGACCCACTTATGTTTGTGTTTCTGCCCTTTTACTTACATTTCTCCACTGTGTTTTATTTGCACAAAGTAATTTTTTCAGCAGGATCACAATGGATAAAACGTGAGTTGGAGGGAAGGAATGAGGTGGGGCCATGGGAGGTCAGGTCAAGTTGGCTAAGAGTTGCGGGAGATGACAGATAACAGTATCTGTCAGGGAAGAAAAGTGTGTTTTGCTTAAGTCCCGTTCCATAAGTACTGGAAGACGGTGCTGCCAAGGCAGGCAGGCTCTCTGAATCTTGACTGCACACTGCTGCTGTCATGTATTTTTTTATTTGTTTATACAACTGAGGACTATCAAGTATATCCACCAATTTCCCCCCTCAGGCACTTTGAGCTCCCCTCTGCTGCTGAAGCTTCCCGCCTGTTTAGCGTCCCAGATTTTGTGGGTGACGCCTGCAAGACCCTGGCCTCGCGTATCCGGGGGGCTGTGGCTGCCGTCACCTTTGATGACTTCCATAAGGTGAGCTGTGTTTTCCCCCTTGACTTCCTGTCACTTGGAGGGCACAAATACTTTTATGTCTCTATTTTTTCCCCTTTCTGTTTGAAAAAACACAAATCCTTAGTCCTGTATTCATCAATATCCATGGCCAGACCAATATATTTTGCTGCCTAAGGCAAAGTGGCAGGTCTTGGTTTTGCATTGTCATTTCCCCAGTTCATTATACTAATGCGTTCGCTGGCGCGGAAGCTGTGAAATGCTATTTCTTACTGGAAATAAATGTTGCCAGAACTCGAACCGCCTGATCTGTGCTGCCGTGTTTGGCTTCGATGGGGAAGGGACCATGCGCGGCTCCCTCCGATTCGCCCCCAACGGACTTGTCATCAGCAGCATTGACATCCAGAGTGTGGAGCCCGTGGACCAGAGGACGCGAGATGCCCTCCAGAAAAGCGTCCAGCTGGCTATCGAGATCACCACCAACTCTCAGGAGGCAGCTGCCAAGTAGGGAACCTCTCCAGGGGGGTGGGGGGTGGGGACACTCAAGCCGACACTTCCCCAGCTACGCTCCAATCCATGTGACACTTCCTTGGCCAAAGCATTGCCTGGTCCCTCCTCCTCTTTGGCCTGTTATTCCTGTTCCTCTGTTAGGACAAAATGTCCATGAAACAACCATCTGTCCAGAATTCTGACTCTGGAGCACCATGCTACATGCAGTGTCATTTTGGAAAATCCTTAGAAATCATGCTAGTTGCTTTTTTAAAAAAAAGACAAGCAATGTAATTGATAGCGACTTAAGACAACATGAAAACCACCCTAAAAATAAAACAGAAAAATCCAAAACTCATTCCTTTTTAAAAAAGGCAGGACTGTTTTCTATATCCAGTGCGTGCGCACACATCCAGTACTTTGCATGTACATGGCATGTAGATTTCAAAATCCTGTACCAAATTAAAGCTGGTCTTTGTGGCCACCAGGAATTACACAGTTATAGCTCTCTTTCCATCCAAGATTAGCTCCCAGAGTAGCTCTCAATTAAAACTCATGCAAATGGTGCAATAAAATTAGGGATTTGGGAGGGGATGTTCTATTCGGTCCAGACTCCGGGCTCTGCTCTCATTCAGAGACAAGCAGCCCTCTCTGCTGGGCAAACGAAACAGCTGTGCACACCCCTCTCGTGTCCTGTTGCTTGTTCGGCTTTAGCTAGCTGTGAGAAGAGGCAAGGAGCTAAACAGGGCTCTGCAACCACCGGAAATCTGATTCGGGCATCTCTCTGGCTTCTGAAATTTCAGCAGGTCATTGAGGTGCCACACTTTCAAGCATGTCTTGGCAGCTGCATGGGCAGCTTAAGGCTTCCCAAGCTCCTTTCTTGACTCCATTCAAGGGTCCACATCTATTGCTTTCAAAACAGCCAAGCCCCACAAGGAGATTTTCCTATTCACTCGTCCCTCTCCATCTTCCTGACCCTTTCACAAGTGGCAAGCGGTCTCTCCCACACCCTTTCCCTTTCAGGCCACCAGAGCTTCAGACCCAAGAGAGGAGGGCGGCAAATATTTTGCAGTCCTTCAAATGGATGAATCTCTGCCCTGCCCACTCTGACCTTCTGTTTTCTCCTTCTCTGACACCATTTTCTTTCCCCCACATCTCAGGCATGAAGCAGAGAGGCTGGAGCAAGAGGCTCGCGGACGTCTTGAGCGGCAGAAAATCCTTGACCAGGCCGAGGCCGAACGGGCCCGGAAGGAGCTGCTGGAGCTGGAAGCACTGAGGTGAGCGAGTCATGATTGAGACTCTGAAGGGGCCAACCCTGAAGGGGCCTGGAGCATTGCATGGGCCCGGCAGCAGATAACGCCCAGGGGAGCTTCACCTTCCCTCACTCCTCTCCCCACAGCACAGCGGTCGAGAGCACCGGGGCGGCAAAGGCCGAAGCCCAGTCACGGGCAGAAGCTGCCCGGATTGAAGGTGAAGGGGCAGTACTGCAGGCCAAGCTGAAGGCCGAAGCTACGGCCATAGAGACGGTGAGCTCCTCTGCGTCCTCTTGTGATTCTCTCCTAGTCTTGCCTCCCTCTTGGTGCCAAGGCAACGGTGGCTCTCCCGTTCCCCTCTCTAGCAGTGTGCAGTGGTATCTTGGTTCTCAAACTTAATTCATTCTGGGAGTCCGTTTGACTCCCAAAACCGTTCAAAAACTAAAGCGTGGCTTCCAATTGGCTGCAGGAGCTTCCTGCACTCAATCAGAAGCCACGTCCGCAACCTGGAACACTTCCAGGGTTGCGGTGTTCAGGAGCCGATTTGTTCAACAGCTAAGCCATTCAGGAACCAAGGTACCACTGTGCTGCGGGCTGCTAGGAAAACTCATCTGAAAACTATGTTGACTGCTATAATTTCTTCTTCTTTTTAAAAAATCTCCAAAGCATTTGTCACCAAGCATTTTTTTATACATATATAGTTTCTTCTTGACTTCCCACCCCTTCTTTCCAGATGTTTGTTTTTTAACTCCTTTTTATTAACTGTTTCGATAATCCACGGCTTATATTTCAAATCTTGCCTGCGACTTCATGTATGGGTGATAATTTGATAGATAAATCCATCCATTTCCTCCTTAAACACTTCATCATTGTGCCCTTGTAATTTAGCAGTCAATTTCGCCATTTCCCCAACTGCTATAATTTCCCTCCCAACTGTCAGAAGCTTGCTTACTCTCCTCCTTTCTGTGCGCAACTCATAACTGCACCTTTAGCCTAATAATAGCATTGTTTTGGTTCTCTGTTTTGTAAGCACAGTTCTCTAGCGCTTGCCAGGGTTGGGGCATTTTGCTACAGGAGTGGATTTTTTTGCACGGAGATATAGTTGAGTTGGACGGCATGCTGAGATCCATTTCAGCTCTAGCATTCTACCCCTGTCTGAGTGGAATTAAAAATTCCTGATTAAGAAAATGTTTCTTAATCAATACATCAAGAACACTACACTCAGGAATGCCTGACCTGGAGAACTTTTTAAATTCCATGGCTCAGCTATTCCAGGAGCCCTTGGCTCGGTGGCTCCTTTGGCGAGCCCTAGGCCCTGGCAGCTGCCCAAATTGGTTTAGAAGAAATGATGGCTGTATTAGTGGCACGTTTGAATTTTTAAATCCATTGACTGGATTCAGAAGTGCCTTTCCATGTACAAAAGCCATCTTCCTCTTGTCGAAGTGGGGCCTCTCTTTATACCCTTGTCTCCAGGACATTGGGAAAGAAAAGTGGGAAATAATAATTAAAAATGCTTTTCCTTTGGTGTAAAACTCTTCCATAATTGGAAGTATGAGACCCAATTCTCAAGACTGCATGCCACACGCTGCACTGCTTCTGGGCTCTTGTGCAGATGTTTTAACATAGAGCTGGCTTAAAAACTGTGGCCCTCCAGATGTTGGTGAATTCCCAACTCAAGCTACCTTGAGTCCTGCCAGGGGGAAAAGCGAGGTATAGATAAATCTACAATAATATATAATAATCGGCCACCATGGTCAATGGCAAGGAATGGTGGGAGTTGTAATCCAAAACCATCTGCTCCTGGTCTAAGGAACCGTGCTAGTGGACTGCTTTGGCTTCCACTCAGATGTTTGGCTCCAAACCAATGTGTCCTCCTAGGTGCAATGTTTATTTCAGAAAAACAACCCAAACCCTTTTATGCCGGTTGTCATTGTCCCACGTGCTGAGCATGTTGCGCACTCTCTTCCCACCATCCCTTGCAGGAGTCGGAACTGAAGCGCCTGGACCAAGCGCGAGAGCAGGAGCTGCGCTTCTGCAAGACTCAGGCCGAGCTGGACGTGGCTCGGGCAGAGGCTCTGGCTGCTGTTGAAGTGAAGAAATTTGAGGCGGTGATAAATGCGCTGGGAGCCAGCACTATCCGTGACATTGCTGTGGCCGGCCCAGAGATGCAGGTGAGAAGCGAGGAGAGGAGAGAGGGTTCTGGAGCAATAGGGAGGGGCTCTTTAGAAGTGTGTGACTTCTATCGGGGAAGGAGCCGTAGCTCAGTGGCAAAGCTTGTGCTTGGCCCCAGTTCAATCCCTGCTGGCGGCTTCCGTTAGGAAGGATCTGGCAACAGGTGATGGCCTGCCAGGTGGACTGAGCTTTTTCTAAAGCAAGTAACTTGACCTGGCCTAAGGACTTGAGGGATGTGGGGGGCAAAACAGAACTTGAGTGTTAGCAACAGGGAATCCTAAGAGATTGCTATGTTTTGGCCAAGGGGATTGATGAATTATCTCACTAATCTTGGACAAGGTCCTTGAGCGGGTGGTCACAGATCAGATCCAGGCATTCTTGGAGGAAAATGATTTTCTAGATCCATTTCAGTCGGGGTTCAGGTCTGGTTTTGGCACAGAAACTGCTTTGGTTGCCCTGTATGATAACCTCTGTTGGGAGAGAGTCAGGGGAAATGTGTCCCTGTTAATTCCCCTCGACGTCTCAGTGGCTCTCAATACCATCAACCACTGTATCCTTCTGGAGTTAGGGGTGGGTAGCCCTGGGAGCCTTCCATCAGCTTCAGCTGGTGGCCCAGCTGCACCCCTATCTGCAGAGGGGTAGCCTAAGTTCGGTTGTCTGTGCTCTGGTAACCTCTAGATTAGATTTCTGCAAGACATTATGTGCCTCTGAAGATGGTTTGGAAATTTCAGCTGGTGCTGAATTTGGCAGCCAGGCTGCTCACCTGGGCAAGATGATTTGAGCATATTACACTGATCATGGTCTGATTGCTCTGGCTGCCAGTGAGTTTCTGGGTCTAATTCAAAATGCTGGTTTTGACCTTTAAAGCTTTAAATGTCTCAGGACTACCTCTCACCATATGACCCAACCTGGACCCTGCAATCATCCTCTGAGGCCCTTCTTCATGTGACTCCTCCATGAGATGTCTGGAGGGTAGCAACACAAGAACGGGTCTTTTCTGTGGTGGCTCCCCATTTGTGGAATGCCCTCTCCAGGGAAGCTCACCTGGTGCCTTCATTACATATCTTTAGGCACCAGGTGAAGATGTTTCTCTTTAAGTAGGCCTTTGGCTGATTGATGTTCTATGCCTTTTAAAATGTGTTAGTGGGAGGGGGTGTTATTGGTTTTTGTTATTTTATGTTCTCATTTTATATTTTTAGGTTGTGCCCTGTGATCTTTGGATGAAGTGTGGTATACAGATTTAATTATATTATTATTAATAAAATAAATTATCTTCCATGCAGGCAAAACTACTCCAGGGCCTGGGCATTCAATCCACACTCATCACAGATGGTTCTTCCCCTATCAACCTTTTTACAGCTGCAGGAGGATTGTTGGGGATTTTGCCCAAGCCTTCTGAGACCTGATAGATCCTGGAGATGGATGCTTCCCTTCCGCATGAGAGCTTTCTTTAAGTACCTTTGCAAACAACATAGAATGTAATAATTTTCCCAGGCCATTGGAGCCTCCTTTGAATGTGCCTTTTTTTTTTTGTACAAGTATACAATAAACACTGAAGCAATCTATTCCATGTAATCTCCTTACTCATTTTCATTTTAAGTATGGAGTTGTCTTCTTGTGGGAACATTGATCCTGGGTTTGTTGGGGGAGGGTGGGAAGAATCTTGGCTCTTAAGTGAAGGAGGGGTTGGTCAGAGATGGGAGGGAGGCACATCCATTGTGAGGTCATAGAAAGTGGGTGTGGCCAGGAGAGCAGCTATGCTGAGCAGAGGGCAATTTCTGCTACTCCAGCTCCTGTACACTTTTACAAATCTCTGCGAGCTGATCCTGAGTAGTCCTCGGCTTGTGACAGGTGAACACAGATCTTCCTCCACTGGGCCTCCTTCCACCCCACTCATCCCCAGCAGCAGTGAGTGCTGCAGAAGTGACCATGGCTCAGTGCTATTCCTTTCAGGCAGAAGATCCCAGGTTCAATATCTGCATCTCCCGTGGAAAGGGTCTGGAGTAGGAGATGATGGGGAAGACCTTCCAGCTGAGATGCTGGAGAGCTGCTGCCAGTTGGGGTAGACAATACTGATCTAGGTTTAAGGCTGCTTCCTAGACCTTGCCTTATGAACCCTGGGATATTTCATCTGGCTGTGTGAAGGGTCTCTCCACAGTATAATTTTGACCCCTGGCATTTCCACGCTACTCGTTTTAAACTGCTTTAATTGGAAGCCATAACAGGGAGTCCTTGGATTCTGATCTAGAAATGTGTCAACAATCTTGCATTATTTTTACATGGCTAGGGATGGTTCCAGCCCTGAACCAACCAAGTTAAGGCCCTTTGAAACTACTTTACATGTTATACTTGTTGAAGTGATATAGTTACGGCCAAAATTCCCCATTACCGCAGTAGCTTCCAAGTAGGTTCTCAGAGGAGATTATCGTCCCAATAAGGTTCTGATGATGTTGGATTGCTGAGGCCTCTTTCCTTCTCCACGTTCGTCTTGCAGCACAGATTGTAGCAGTAAACATTTGCTCCTTTTTAACTTCCTCTCTTGCCCAAGCAAAGTAAAGGGCTGTGTGGGGCAACTGTTTGCGAGGCCAAAAGGAGTTTGCGGTGGGTTGTGTGTGGCCTAAATCAGGGCTACGGCAAAGCATTAGCATTGTGTGGCTGGCTGGAAGAGAAATATTCATTGCTGCTGCAATGCAAGGGCGTGACTGTTCATGGAACAGGAAATTAGTAGCAAATGTTTCTTGGAAAACAGATTTTTGTGTGTGCTTGCGTTTGTAATGAGGTAAATGGACTAAGCACAGGAATGCTAAAAGCGCCCACTGATGGGAGGTGCTTTTGGGGCCCACAGCTCGTGCAGGAAACCCAGGGAATGCCACTGAGACGGATTTGTCCCGACATCAGCCGCTCTGGTTTGATTATCCCGACACGGATGAGAAGAAGATCCTTGCCATTTACAAGCTCATCGGAGAGCAGCCTGAGTATATTCCCCCAAGTGAGTCCCCCTGCCACTCCTGTCTCTTGACCCTCTCTCAAACGCTCCCTCCCCAATAGCACCTACAGGGGAGGGGGCTGAGCACAGCCTTTGCAGGCACCAAGTCCCAGCAGGTGCAATCCCTGGCATCTCCAGGTAAGAGCTGGGAAAGACCCAGAGTGCCACTGATGGCCTGAGTTGACCATATTAGGCTAGCTGGACTAATGGCCTGATTCCCCCTGCTCTATGCCTAACCTCTGCTCTCCTCCCTTTCCAGAATGATTCAGGGCTGCTTTGGGCTTCCTCCTCCTTGCCCTAGCTCTGCTCTAGCCTTGCCCTATTTCCCCATGACAAACCTTCCCTACCAACCCTCCTCTTCTCTGCCCCCTACAGGTTCATTCCCTCACCAGCTGCGTTATATCCTAGTGGGATCCATTATACTCATCCTGCTGTTCTTCCTCTATCAGATCATATCTAAAGTGTACGTGTCATTTTGGTTGGTGTATGTTATGCTGCAAGTATTCTCCCTGCCTCCTTACTGCCTTTGGATGTCATTATTTACTCCCACCTCCACAAATGGAATGACACCCCCTCCCCTCCTTCTTCTTCTTCCACAATTTCATTCAGGATCTTCAAGAAGTCAAATGCAGGATAAACATCCAGGGGATCAGCAGACAAGGCTCTGTAGCCAGCCAACCACCCTTTGTCTTTTCCTCTGTTCAATAAAAGGCTATTGAATATTGAATAAAAGGCTATTTCTTTTGTGATTGGTGTGATATGCCAATGGAAAATCAAAGGGGGAAGGGGAGCTGGGATTGGCAGGTTTTGGTTTATGGGGCACACGAGGGCTTAAACAGCAGACAGACCTAAGTTCAGGACTGCGAGCGGCCTGTGGAAGGCTTAGCAGGGAGAAGTAAGAAAGACACACATTGGCCCTCTGCTGGCATTAGATAAAGGCTCCTTTAATACTTTTGCAGACCTCAGGTTATAAATACAGCCCGCCCGCCCCCTATTTACAGCTGGATCCCTGCCCCATGGAATGGGCGTTCCTAGGAGGGAAGAGGGAAGGGGTTGGTGTGCCGAACAGAGGAGGAGGTGGAGGCAAGAGGCTTGGTTATTGCTAGGTGGAGGGAGGGAGGGGTGCATGTTAGGAAGCACACCTCTTGGAACCTTCCCAGTGCAAGGGGATACATTTTATACAGCATTTGGGGGTTTTCTGGGCAGGTGGCATCACAGTAATACTGAAGATCACTTGCAATTTAGCAGCATCCAAAAATTCCAGGGTGTTTCACTATCAGCTACCCTACAACAATTCCTAATTCTGCTGATAGAACCCCTAACAATACAGTGTGAGGAAATCCAGACTATTTCCCTGCCCCTTTTAATAATAGCTGTGATACTGTGACTCTATGGATAATAGTATAGAAAAGCCCCCGTTGTCTCTCTTCCCTACCTCCCCACCCCCATCACTAGCATCTCTCTCTGTTCCCAAGAAACAGCACCACCCCACCCAAATAGTTAACTGAGTTGTCTCCTTGCCTAGTATGGGCTCAGGTAGTCCTGGGGTGCTCACAGCATGGTGTGGAAATAAATAGCACATATATTATTTGGGGGGGGTGATTTGCGAGAGCCCCTAACACACTAGAGATGCCTTGTTCTTATCTTGCAGCCTCAAATAAACTTCGTCCATGTACCCTGTTCTCAGCCCTCCTATATAACCACTGGCCTGAAAGTCCCTCTGTAAAAGAAACATCATATATATATATATATCCCTTTGGTTTAGGACTCTACCCCCATCCCTGCCCCCGAGGAGTTTCAAAATACTGAGTGTTGCAATATTAGAGGGCTGCCTTTAGCAAAGGAACCCCACACTGCACCAAAGGACTATTGTCTTTGTCCCTTCCGAATACTTCACTGGAACCCCCCGCCCCCCGCAACGCCTTTCCAGGCCTCCCCAAATCCCCTTTGGCCTAGGAGCCCACTCCCCCAATCCATCCATTCCCTCCCATACCCCAATAAATAAATAAGTTAGAGGAAATGTGGTCTGTCCGTCTGTGGCTGAGGAGGGAGAGGTATCATCAGTCCAGCACCTGCGTCTCTGGTCTGTGCCCATTTCGCAGCACCTGATCCTTGGCAGCGCCCTGGGAGCGGTATACGCGGAAAGCGCCACGGCATATGAGGCCAAACCAGTAAACCTGGGGCGCCATGAGGATGGCCGATCCCAAGTTGTACTCGACGGGGATGGAGAAGGGCACGCGATAAAGGGGCAGGCCGGCATAGTGCCCGTATACCCAGTACATGTAAGGAAAGAGCAGGATCCGGCAGCAGAAGAATGTGATCAGCATGATTATCCCATTCACCTTATGAAGAAGGGTGTGTTGCTGCTTGTACTGTAGCAGGAAAGAAGAGGAGGGGTTGAGAGGGCAGTCAGGCCACAACCAGCTCCCTCCAGGAAGCCCAAGAACCTGCTCTGCCCCCCTGGGTTCTTGTTTCTCTCCCCAGAAAACCCACAGGACTGGGCCATACTTACCAGGATGAGGACTTTGCCGAGGCAGACAAAAGGGGTGCTGAGCTCAGCCATCAACATACAACCCAGGAAGAAATCGCCCTTGCCCTGGCGCCAGAGCTGAAGTGGGGGAAAGCAAGAAGGGTGACTTGTTGGGGGTGGGTGTTAGCAGCCTCTAAAGCACACAGCCCCACTCCTGCTCCATGCATCGGCATCCCATCCCATCCCTTCCTCGCCTCCTCCTGTGATCAGAGGTTCCCACGCCAGGCCACACTCACCACGGACATGGGGAAGCAAACCAGCACCATGAAGAGATGGTGGACCACCATGAGGAACTCCTTGTGCAAGTAGGTGCGGACGACGGTGCGCAGCGTCCGGGTGCCGGCCGACTCGTGCCCTTTGACCTGGTACTTGTGCCAGTGGCACAAGAACATGGCGTAGATGTCGTAGATGAAGTAGGGGATGGCAAACTGGGTGTAGGAGGAGGTCAGCCAGTGCCTGCAGAAGGAGAAAGAATGCTAGGGCAGAGGAAGGTTGTAAGCAAGACACAGTCCTGGCAGTGACTCAGCAGGGAATTCCAGCCGGGGGGGGAGCAAGAGGAGGTGCCCCGCCCCCTTGGAACAGGCTCACGGCCATGATCAATGAGTATTGATGACCTGCTGATGCGCTCTGCTCACACAAGGTCAATGAGAACAAAGCCTTGCCTATACCCCCCAAGTTCTTCCATTCCTGCTCTCACAAGGCTGGGCTCTCTGTGGTTTAACAGCTCCCGGTTGTTTCTCCAAGCCACGCTGACCATGGCCATATCCAAGCTACGGGCTGCCATTCCCACCTCACCTTGTCCTGACATTGCCTTTCAATCCTGACCGCAGCCCCACTGCCACCCCCAGTCAGAGCACCCTCAATCCCCTTAGATCCGGGATATTTTGTCTGACTACCGGCAGCGAACCATGCTTCCGACCTTGTGCTTATTTAGAAGTCCACAAGTTCTATAAAAGGTAATAGGATTAATGTAAATAAGTCCAGGACATTGGCCTTAATCCTATTCCATTTCAGGTGATAAGAGGGGAATTCAGGGACTGAAAAAGGTGCTTCTAGCCCTGATCCCTTTCCCCCTTCAGGCTGAGAGGAAGGCAAATGGAGTGCTGTTGCTTTAAGTCTGGGCTGTGACTTCCTTACTGCCACCTCCCCAGCTGACTTCTCGTCACTCTCCTCCCTCACCACTGCAGCCTGCCTGGGCATTTGTGCTGATGGCTCCATGCAAGGTGATTAGGCCAAATGCCAGAGAAGCAGCCAGGATGCTGCAGTGCTCTGCGGGATGCAGGGCCCAAGAGACGCTGTGGGGTGCTCAGCTTGGAGACCAAAATGGGGCAGGTGGGATCCAAGCAGAATTCAGATGGGGTGGAGGTGGGGGCGCTGGTAGATGGTTTCTGTGCTACAGGACTGCAAAGATGATATCAGGAGCCCGGCATAGGGGTCAGTTAAGGGAACGCTTTGAAAGAGTTGAAATCTTGCCTACCCTCACCCACATTGCTTCCCAACAGGAGATTCCCAGTGCAAAGGGCACAGTGAGAGCATTGTAATGGATATACAGAAATCTGGAAACTCTTCTCTTTGCCCTAAGAGAATCCTCAACTCCTGCCTCTAACTGCCTTGCTCTAACCAGCTGGCGTTTACTCTCCAAAAACCCAGATATCCAGCCTCCATATGATGTAACCTGCTGGAGCCCACTCCCCCCTCTAGGGAGCCCAGGAATTCGTCATCACTGGTTGCCCAATAAAGCCAATTATGAATCCACAGAACGCAAATCAGCAGTAGAAACAGCTGTTGCTTTGGTCTAATCCCCTGCCCTGCTCTATCATAGGGGAGAATTAGCACACGTGCCCCCCATTCTAGCCTGTCCTGAGGAAGGGACTAATCCCAGCTAAATTCATTAGCGTGAAATGAAGCAATCCTGATGGCAAAGCGAAAAGGGACGGCGGATTGGAAAAGGCCCAGACACATACACACCCCAGACCTCTATCCCGTCCCTCTTCCAGGAGCTCTCTGGGTTCCTGCTGTGTTTGTGGTCCTGCTTGCCCTGCAGAGCTGCCCTCTTGCCAAATTGGTCTCTGCAGAGACCGAGGTCTGGCAGCTGTCCTAGAATCCAGTGGGACTAGCAGCTCCTGTCCCTTTGCTCTCTCTCCAGCACACGCTCTGGGAATCCTCAACTCAGGTGCCCCATGAACTGCATGGGACCTTGGGAACATTTGTGCAAGAGGGAGCTGCCCATGGTGCTGAACTTAGAAGCTGGAGGAATGAGGCTGGCATTTCTGCAGCACCATGGACAGCGCTCTGTGCCACACAGGCCAATCTGCCTCAGTCATTGCCATCGCTTTTGCCCTGCTCTCTCTCTCCAGCACCCCCTGTTGGATTTGTAGCAAGTGGGAGCAGCTTCCAAAAGCAACGTTCCCGACTTTACTCTCCAACTACCTCCCAAATACCTTCATATGGGGCAGAAACAGCAAGGCACTGTCCTCTTCCCACAAGCCACTGCTTCCTCCAGTGCTGTTCCCCACAGCACCTCCTGCTGGTAAGATTATTTCATTTCCTGTGCTGTGCCTTCCAGTTCCCTGTACTGACTTCTTCCCAGGCCAACTCCTTGCTGCACATCTGCCTGTAACATGTCACTGTCATCCTGTTCTAAATTTGGTGCCCATCCCGGTGAGGGTGTCAGGTTTCTCACTAGCGTGACCTTGCCAACACTCTGCTGGGTTGGGAAAGGTGTGGGAGACACAGGGAGAGAGAGGTTACCGCACTGCAGTGCTGGGCTGGCATGCACACAGCAAATGCTGACTTACTGGTCGTCGATAACGTGCTTGCAGGAAGAGGAGACGATGTAGCCGACCGTGGAAGCCATGATGGCCTGCACCGAGGAGACAAACCTGTTGTAGGGAAGAAGGGGGAAACAAAAACAAAGTTAACTACCATTGCCTCTCTCTTCTCTTGGACTCAATAGTCTGCTCACCATTCCAGTTCTGACCCCGGGAATCCAGACCAGCAGACCTCAGAGCAATGAAATGCCCCATGGAGCCGATCTGGGCCTCCTCCACCTTGAGCCCAGCCAAGCACCTTCAAATCCATGCTCTTTGCCATCCCAGAACAGCTGCTATCTTAAGGTCATCTTAGGGGATCAGCAACAATTGCTAAGAGCCTCAGCTGCTCCGTGACCCTGACAGGCAGCCTTGTCATGTGATCACCAGAGACTGCCAACCCTGGAGCAGCTTTTGAGCTCCTAGATATATGCACTAAGCAATGAGAGCAACCAGACATTCTGCCCCAGAGCATCCCCCTGGAAACACTGAGCAGACCAAGTGTCTTAACACTCCTGGAAAGCCCAGCAAACAGCCTTGATCTTCTGAAACACCCTCTTAACAGCAGATCCCCAGGAATCTCATACCTCACAAGTCACAGACCTTGCCAAACCCTAACCCTAACCGGGGGTTCACCAATCTCCTCAATGCTGGGCTCCAAACATCTTGCTGAGAGGAAGCCTGGGTTTATATGGGCTACTGCTTCTATTGGCTGTCATCGTGGGATAGTGACACCTCATCACCCGAGTTCAGCTTTAGCTCAGCTCTTGGTTCCCAATTAATATGTCCCAATCTCTCCTTGAGAAACCCAGAGGTCTGGCTCATGGTCCCAGGCACTCCACCTCTCCCAGAGAATCCAGCAGATCTGTCCCTCTGCTTCCTTGCAGATATGCCCAAGGATCCACTAGGGAAAGCCACTTTGCAACTTGCTGCACCCCATTCCAATCCCAACGGACCCAGGAAACCTGGCTCCCAACCCCGCCTCATTCTAGGACCTATTTAAAAAAAGAGCCTCATTAGAAAAACCTAGTTCATAGCCCATCCTCTCCATGCCCTTGTACCACTCCCCTTTCAAAGGAGCCTGCCCCTTTCCCTTAAGCCCTGGCCCCACCGCTTCCAACCTCATCCTTCAAGAAAATATGGGAGGGAAGAGTCCTAGCCCCTCACACCTGAGGCCTGCTGGATGCCCACCCTCGCCTGATGCGGCCCACCCTCCGCTGCTGGACCCTGGCTGCATCCTCCCTCCCCTGGCTCCCTGGTTACCTGGCGGAGACGATGACCGCGTCGGCCTCCTCCCATCGCAGCCATGGCAGCCACTTGAGGCCGTTCTTGGACAACAAGAAGAGGCCGGGGAAGACAATGCCCCCTGCTACCAAGGCGTGAAACATCTCGCTCAGGCTGCAGGGTTGAGGGGGGAGGAGGAGGAGGAGAAGGAAGAGGAGGAGGAGGAGGAGGAGGGGGCCACACAAATGGGGAGGGTCAGCGGGGCTAGGATCCCTCCAGGCGCTCCCCTCGAGGAAGACTCATGGTATCCAAGGGGGCGAGGGGGGGATGGAGAGGGAAGGGGGGGATGGCGGTGGTGTGCGGGTTGGTCCCAAGCAGAGCTGCTGTGACAGACAGAGAGACAGAGCCAGGGGAGGGAGGGGGAGCAGGGAGCAGCTGTCAGCACAGTGCGGGAGGGAACTTAAAGAGACAGTGGCCTGTGGTGTGTGGAGGGACTGGCGGAGGAGAGGAGCGGGCGGAAGGAGGATGCTGCGAGGATCAGCGCAGCCAGGAGCTCAGGGGGAAGCAGGGGCAGCAGAGCCCGGGGACTGGAGACAGGGGCTGCGCCGCCGGAGGAGGAGGAGGAAAGGGAAGAAGCGGGTGCTGATAGGAGGGAGGCAGGGAGAGGATGCGGGTTGGGGCTGCTGGACTCTATAGGTGGATCCGAAGCGGGGAGAGGTTTGGGATGGTGACTCAGAGCGGGAGGCTTGGGACAGGGAAGAGTGGTGGAAGGAGGGAGAGGAATCTGCCCATTCATCTCCTTAAAACCCTCACCGCAGCAGGGAGTCCCCTGGGTTTAGCTTCTGCCTCTTTTAAACTGGGAGAAGCTGGCTAAGAAGATTGGGGGTGGGGGGAGGAGGAGGCATTCCCCCCATTTGCGGCTAATCAGGCAGCAGAATTAACCCCCTGAGTGCCAGATCATCCTTTCCCCTATCTCTCCCTCCCTCCCTCGCTTAGCAGGAAGTCGTGCTCACAGGATGATTTAGGCTAATCCTATAATCCCAGCCTGGTTTGTGAGGAAGGATCAGGTCTCTGATGTGGGAAGTGGGAGGGTGGGGGGGGGAGAGAGCGAGGTAAAATGAAGGGGGTGGGTGGGGGCAATTAACCCTTTCCGCTCCCAAAGCATTAGGGACTAATCCTCCAATAAAGCTCCACCTGCTGAGCAGGTGACCCTGATGTGACCTTTGATAGGTGGGTGGAAAGAGCCTGGCAAGTGCCTGTGGAACTAACTAAAGCAATACTGACACCTTGTGCTGGACTATAGGAACTGCAGCAGGTGGGTTTCCCAAAGAACAGAGGTGACCTGGTTTTATGAATTGCTTTAACCCATTTCTAAGGTGGGCCAAAGATATTATGTAGTCTTGAAGTGTGTGGGAGACGATTACGTGCTCACCTACAGGAGCTGACTGGACTGGCAGCTGAATCTTGCTTGAACTTCAGCATAGGACTGCCTCTCCACTATATCTGAAGGCAAGAGCACACAGGGCTCCATCCTTCAACACCTCATCATTGCTCCATCCTTCCCACCTTTCACCCCCATCTGATGAATGGTAGGGCCATTCTCTCTCTCTCTCTCTCTCTCTCTCTCTCACACACACACACACACACACACACTAAGAGAATCTGGGTGTCCAGGTAGTCTCTCACTTGGCAGATACATAGACTGCATTGAGCTCCTCCATTTGCCCAAAGCGACGCAGAAACCGATACACTGTGTAGAAGAAGCTAGGATAGGCGGCCAAACCCAGGAGAAAGAAATAGGGAAATTCTATCTGCAAAAACTGGGAGTGGGAGAGAATGTCAGAAATTAGATTAGTCTCCTAACTAACAGAAGATTCTCCTCCAATAAAAAGTCAGCACATCACTCTGGTCAGCAAAGTACAACTATTCCGCTGGTTATTTTGGTCATCCCCCCCCCTTACATATAAATTATTGGAGGAAAGTATTGCAGCGGCTGGTAGCCATGACAGCTAAGGCATGGTGCAACAAGGCAAGCTTAGGCTATGGGGTCCATGGTCTCCAAGGAACCAGCTTCATTTGGAAATGTGCATCACTTCATTTGCCAACAATGCTGTGTTTAGGGGCCCTTCTACTTATTCTGCTGAGAGGGTCCCCCCAAAGTCCCACCCTGTTGGCAGCAGTTGTAATGCGGACGTGGTTGCTCCACGGACAGAAGCAAGACACCTCTGCTAGCAGATGCCAAGAACAAAGGACAAGAGGGTCTCCCTGCTACACTCGGCTTGTGAACTTATTGGGCTGGATACAGGATGAAGGCTTGACAAGACCTTTGGCTCCATACTGGAAGGCAGTTCTTATTGTGCTCTCAGCCAGCCAGTTCATTGTCAGCAAAGTATACTTTCTGTTAAAATGAAGGAAGATTTTCACACTGCAACCCTATAAACATGACTGCCTAAGAAAGTAAGTCCCATGTACTTCGATGTGGCTTGCTCCCTGGTTACAGGATTGCAGCCTAAATTGACTTAATCAAAAGCAAGACTGGAGCATAGTAAGAACTGCCTTGCTGGATTGGACCACAAAGTCCATCGATAACTCTTACATTCCAGAGCTTTTCAATTAATTGTGCCATTATTTCCTGGGTCGTCCCGTCCTTCCTCTTCTCCCCGCCCCACTCTCCACCATCTGCTGCTGGAGAAAACTGAAATTTCCTTTGCTTCTGGAACTGAGGAGCCTCTTCACTGGTACAGAAATCAATGAGGGACAAATGTGCACATATTTGACCTCAACCAACTCACCTGTTCCCATGCCATCCTAGCAAAGACAGCAGTGTTCACAAATGACATCCCAACCATCCGCTGTCCTTCACATCTATGGAGGGTATTTCATGTTGGCAAGAGATCTTTCCCTAAGGGACTAATGAAGATGTAATTGAAATCTCACAGCTGAAAAGGATTCTACTTAAACCACATATTATCTCTTGAATATATTATTGATTTAATTTGTATACCACCTTGCCTACCCAAGATAAGGATATGTTTTCACATTCCTCCTGAAAGTTAATAAAAATGGAAACTGGCACAGCTCACTAGGGATGGCATTCCACAACCCAAGTGATCAAATCGTACTGGAACCAACAACTGAGGCAACAAAGAGATGCATTTCCTAACAACCCATCTATGACTTAGTGGCTAGAGCAGTGGTCCTCAAAAGGGTGTGGCGTGTCACACAGGTTGGGCAGGAGAGGATGGCAAGCGTGGCAGGAAGATTCAAGGACAATCAATATTGTATCTGGGAGATGATTTGTGTTCTTATGCATTGTTTTATACATTCTGGATGTCCCATGATCATACTATAAAGTAAAGGTAAAGGGACCCCTGACCATTAGGTCCAGTCGTGGCCAACTCTGGGGTTGCGGCGCTCATCTCGCTTTATTGGCCGAGGGAGCCGGCGTACAGCTTCCGGGTCATGTGGCCAGCACAACTAAGCCGCTTCTGGCGAACCAGAGCAGCGCACAGAAACGTCGTTTACCTTCCCGCTGGAGCGGTACCTATTATTTACTTGCACTGTGACGTGCATTCAAACTGCTAGGTTGGCAGGAGCTGGGACCAAGCAACGGGAGCTCACCCCATCGCGGGGATTCGAACCGCCGACCTTCTGATCGGCAAGTCCTAGACTCTGTGGTTTAACCCACAGCGCCACCCGCATCCCTTATATTATAAAGTAGGCGTGTTCTATGATATAAATCAAGCACTTCTATTTTTTGTTTCTTATCAATAAAAATCCAGTGTGGTGAAAGCAAATTATTATTATTATTATTATTATTATTATTATTATTAACTGAATTTATATACCTCCCTTTACTCAGAGGTCTCAGGGCAGTTCATACTTTATTCTGAAAGTGTTTCCCAGAGAAAAAGTTTGAGAACCACTGGGCTGGATTGTTAGACTCACACCATTCCCATTCCTTGATGAGGATCACTTAGGCTGGTCACTATCTCTCAGCAACAACCTCACAGGGTTGTTGTAATGATGAAATGAAGGGAGGTTATGCCTGCCACCTTGAGCTCCTTGAATAAAGGTTTGGATGGAAATGTAATAAATAAAACATATATTCACTCCTGTGGGATAAACGCCACAAGACATACGAAAAAAGAAAGCAGCAGGTTTTATGCAAACACAGACACAATCCAAAACTGTGCACTTTCCAATGTCATTGATCTCAACAGTGCAACCCTGTGTGAAATAGCCACACTTTAGGTTTTCAAAAAGGCCTGGAAAACCCACTTGGTCTATGTGGCACTTTCGTATTACTCCATCCAGTTATTGTACTCCTTTTGGCTGACAGGTTTGTTAAGATTGTGGCTAAATTCAATAAAGTAGAGGGAAGTTTCATATAGTATTTTATCTTTGCACTATGATGAAGTGCACCTCTAGCATATATGAGGTATTCACCAGTATATTTTTAGTGGCATACCTGGTGTTGCATCATTGCAGCAAGGTTTCTGCCCTCTAACCCAGTGGTTCCCAAACTCACCCTCCCCCCGCCACTACGCGCCACGTGGGCCACATGAAAATTGGCAGACCGCTCGGCCTTTTGTAGCAATTTCAATGTATTGCACTAGATGCTGTATGATTTTTAATTGTAATTTCAGACAAGCTGTAGACCACCTGAATAAAGTTCGTCTGGAAACCACCATTTGGGAACTTCTATAGGCCCCCAGCCAGCATAACTGAAGCACATAATTCTTTGGGGGGGGGGGAGTCTGATATTTGAAGATTTGGGCTGCAGTCCAACTCTTGAGTGGGTTAAGAATGGGCTGAGGAGGCTCTGCCACTGCTGAAATTCCCGCTGCCCTCAGTAGCTAGGACAAGACACCCCAAATGGAGCATTGGGGGCACAGGGACAGGCAGAGCAAGGACAGCCAATGAACTGCTGGATATGGGATGGATTTGGTTCCCGCTGCTGTGCCAGCCACTCCAGGGTCCCTGGGGCCACATGGCCTGAGGTTAGGATTGCTCAGCTAGTACTTCTGAGTAAATAACGCATAGTAAATTTCAAAACATTGGGGTATCTAAATGGGTTTTTTTTTCTGATTAGCAACCACTTAGTAACAATGAGTAAGTAGATCAGCGTGAAAACCTTTGGATAGGAACCAAAAAGGGAAGCTGTTAATACGCTGAAGTTTCAGCATTACAGTGGTACCTCGGGTTACATACGCTTCAGGTTACAGACTCCGCTAACCCAGAAATAGTACCTCAGGTTAAGAACTTTGTTTCAGGATGAGAACAGAAATTGTGCTCCAGCGGCGCGGCGGCAGTGGGAGGCCCCATTAGCTAAAGTGGTGCTTCAGGTTAAAAACAGTTTCAGGTTACGAACAGACCTCTGGAGCAAATTAAGTACTTAACCCGAGGTACCACTGTATATCTGGGGGGGGGGGAATGACATATTTTCTACTACATAAATGAACCATAGGTGTCAATTTCATAGAATGGCAAGAGACCAACGAAGGTCATCTAATCGAACCGCCTGCAATGCAGAAACCTTTTGCCCAATAGCCCTGAGATGAAGAGTCTGCTGCTCTACCAAATGAGCCATCCAGTGCGAAGAGTGAAAATCCATTTTTTTACGATAACGAGGCACTTAAATGACTAGCTTACCCACCTTCAGGAATATTAATGCAGCGACCTAAATATTTTCTTATGAAGGCAGATCTGCGTATATATTTAAATGACTCTTTCAGTTATGACATATGCACCGCCATCCACCTGGGCGCATCTGGGTAACTCTGCATGTCTGCTCTCCTTCCCGCCTAGTCCTGGGGCTAATTAACGAGGGACGATTAATACATTTAAATTATTGCAGCAAATGTCTGCGCAAACTCAAATCGCGGCCTGCCCTCCTCTCTCCTGCCCTCTCTGCGCATCTATAACGTATTGCACGCAGCCCGCCCCACCCCGGGCCTAACTGCCCCTTCAGATAGTTTGTGGTTTCCGTGGCAACAACGAACCGCCAACAATAGTGGGGGCACGATGGGGTGGAGTGGAGCAGGAGAGGCGCTTTGCGCATGTGCACAGAGCTGCAACCCGTCTTCGAGACAG